AAAAAGAAATAAATTTCAGTAAAAATTGATAAATTGGATCTTCAAAAAAATTGAAAACTGCTATTTATAAAAATAATATTTAGGAATATGAGAAGGCAAGCCATATACAGGATGAAAGTATTCACGTTTATCTGACAAAGGACTTGTAGCCAGAAAATATAAAGAACCCCCATAAATCCATAATAAAAAAAAAGATCACATTTTTTAAGTAGGCGAAAGACTTAGATACTTCATAGAATAAAAGAGATACTATGTACACATATATAGCCAATAAGCATATTGAAAATGTGGTCAACATAATTAGTCATTAGAGAAAAAAATGAAAATTATGAAGAGATACTATTTTACACACACTAAAATGGCTAAAATGTAAAACTCTGACAATAACCAAATGTTGACAAGGATATAGAATAACAAACTTTTTACACTGCTAGTAGGATTGAGAAATGGTACAATGATTCTCGAAAACCGTTCGGCAACTTCTTACAAAGTTAAACAGATACCTGCCCTATGGCCCAGCAATTCCGCTCTTAGGTATTTCTCCAAGAGAAGTGAAATCAATACATGTTTGCACAAAGGCTTTCATAAGAATGCTCACAGCAGCTTCACTCATAACCCAAAGCCAGAAGCAACCCAAGAGTCTATCTACAGAAGAATGGAGCAACAAGTAGTGGTATGTCCATACAATGGAATGTTAACTCATCAATAAAAATAAATAAATTGCTGATATGTGCCACAACATGGATAAATTTCAAAAACATTACAAGGAGCAAAAGAAGCCAGACATGGAAAAGTCCATTTTGTAGGATATCATTTATATGCATTTTAAAACAGGCAAAACTAATCTTCTATGTTAGAAATAAAAGCAGTGTTTACCTAGGGGGGCTACGAATCAGCTAGAAAAGGGCACGAAGGAGCACGTTGAGGAGATGGGAATGTTCTGTATCTTGGGTGGCACCTGTGGCTCAAAGGAGTAGGGCGCCACCCCTATATACTGGAGGCGGTGGGTTCAAACCCGGCCTCGGCCAAAAACTGCAAAAAAAAAAGTTCCGTCTCTTGACTGTGTGGTGATTACACAGGTATATGCGTTCACTGAGACTCATTAAACTATACACATAAGATCTATGAATGTAAATTTTACCTAGTTAAAAGAAGAGATAATCACACCTAAAATAGCTCAAACTTGAAAAACATTATATAAAATGATTGTTTCTGATCATACAATACTAAAAACAAGCTACAAATATGATTCATAGTAGAAGAGACTAGATTTAGCACATAGCTTAAAGGTATAAAGAAAAAAACAGGACTCTTTAGTAATACAATAATATTCTTACTGAGTAATAACATGTGTTAGATGCTGTTCCAAGTACTATCATTTCCTCCACTTCAAGGGTGAGGAAACCAGAGAAGTTAAATATCTTCTCCAAGGGCAGACAGCTAGCAAGTGGCAGAGCTGGCACTTGAGCTCAGGCACTCTGCCCCTAGAGCCTTAACCTCTGTGATTGTAAGGGACTTGTTGCTGTCCTCAATGTCCCTTACAGAGACTTTCCCAAAAATAGTCTCTTGCGGAGCCTCCCAGCAGTAGCGGGATATAGGATGGCCCAGGATAATTACCCCCACCTCACAGATGACTCTGAGACCCCAAGAGGTAGGCGCACCTGCTCTGGGACCCCAGCCCGGGAGCCAGCTCCAAGCCTCACTACCTGGCTCTTCCTCCCCACCCCACCGCACACAGGGGTATCTCCGCCCTGCTTCCTGGAGCTCTGTGGAAGTAGCTGGCCTTCAAAAGGAGCAGGCCTGTGAACTTGGGAGAGTGGAATACAGCAAGGCTGCACTGTGAAGGGAAAGAAAGGTGAGGAGATGCCAGGACACAAGAGAGGATGAAGGGCAGGAGAGGATGAGAGGCGTGCCAGAGCTCTCTGCAGCCCAGCCCGGGCACTGCAGACAACTAGGCCTTCTGATTTTAAAGACTGAGTCACAAGCAGAGTCTTGTCCTCTCTTTCTCAGCTCACACAGAGATGACAGTAATGTTAGGCACTCTGGGGATACCTAGAAAAACCAGGCTGTCCCTGAAAACAGTCTCAGGATCTTCTCCTTTCCCTTTAGCTGGCTCGCCGCCTCACCCTACACCCTTTGGGTCCCCAGGCCCTTCAGGTCTTCCTCTGAGGGGCTGCTCCCTGAGGGCAGGAGGTCTTCCCTTCACCATCAGGGCTCTCCGTCCTGCATCCAGCTCCTTTGGGCTTTGCTCTCTGCTCCGCGCTTTCAGATGTTTGCTCACATCTGCTTAGGTTCCCTCCTTCTCCCTTCTCCCCAGTCTCTCTGCATATCTAGATTCCATCTGATCTTCCAATGCCTTTTTGACAGGCTAAATTGAGAGTCATTTCTCCTTTCTCGTATACTTTTGGCATGATAATGACCAAATTCTGCCTTATGTAACAGCCTTTTCCAGGCCTGACATATCCCTCTCTAGGCTGTAATAAGCTCTTAAAGACATCATCCATATTCAGTTGATCTCTGTACAACTCCGCTCTGCCAGGGCCATGTGGTGGAGTAGATACCTACCAGGAGGGGAGGAGCCCTGTGGCCTGGGGAAAGGAATGAAGTGTGTGGGCTAGTCACTGCATCCCCACCCACCTGCTTTTCCCCAAGGTCTGGCTCTAGAAGGGTAAACTGTCTGGAAGAGGAGCCATTTTGTGCAGATGGGACATTTTGTTCCCTAAATCATGTCGTGCAGAAGGCTAGCATACCATCTTGCATCTGAAACAAGCACTGAGATGGTCTTCATTTAGGAGGGTAGCTGCAGTGTGGATATTGTTAAATGGTAAATGACATAAAAGTAAGCTCTGGACACCTGAGCCCTCTGACTAGGGATGAGTATATGTGATGCCATGGCACTTATTATGTTGTGAGCACAGACTGCTGTTCATACTCCATTTACTGACTCAGAGTTTATTTCAAACCAAACAGCTCAGCTATCCCATGAGCAGCTAGGAAGGAAGGAAGGGAAGGAAGAAAGGAAGGAAGGAAGGAAGGAAGGAAGGAAGGAAGGAAGGAAGGAAGGAAAGGAGGGAGGGAGGGAGGGAAGGAAGTTCGATTTTCCCCAATTGTCCTCACTCAATCCACACAGCCTCTTCCTGTGAGGAAGAGGCTATTTTCTTTCAAGCTTTATTTTCTTTTTTTTTCCCCATTCCCCCCTCCCTTCTCCCTCCCCCCTCCCCATATTCTCAAGCTTTATTTTCAATCTTCCCCATGGCAAGAAAGGTGATTAGATATTGCAATTTTTAATGGTTTTGTCTGAAAGCCATCTGAAATGAAGCAGAAATGTCAACAAGACAATTTTAAATGGAGTAGATGTTAAGTGGAAAAGAATTCGAAATAAGGGATGGAGTTAGTAACCTTCTTTGATAACTTGGAATGGACAATGGAGGTCCCCGGGCTCGGTTCCAGTGAACACAATAGGACCGCCGGAATCATACCGTCACTGGACGTATCATCCTGAAAATGGCTCATCAAAAATGCTTAAAGACATTTTGTTTTCTTAATAAGTTGGACTTTCTACTGTTCCTCTGTATGATTGATTGGTTTCAGTGAACATTTTTTTTTTCAAATTTTAGCTCATCTTGTCTGAGAATATTCACCACATCTCAATCTCCCAGGCCTACGTCAATGAGTTTAATCACATTTCAATACAGAAATGTGTAAATTTTGTAATGGCCGATTTCACTGTTTTCCTCCTCTGTAACAAGGCCATGGGAAATACACACTCAGGGAGAGTTAAGACTCAATGCCTTTTGCACACTCCAGCCACCTGGGAGGGTCCTCTTGCCCTGCTCACCCACCCCCAGGGTGCATGATTTTTCACTCCAGGAGAACCTCAGGAGAGGCACATCTGAAATTCATTAAGATCTTCTAGGATGAAAAGTGGGATGGAAAGATCTTTGATTAGTCAGAGCAGCAGGGCCTTGGGGAAACCCTGATGCACAAATATGTTCACCTGATTCTCATTTTGTATTTCGTGTTACTTGTGGGGAAAATTTAAAGAAGCTTATAGCTCAGGCGTCATCTCTCATGTTTCGCTCTCCTCCTCTGGCTGGCTTGGGGTTTGTTACTGAGACTTTTCTAGTTGACTTTTGTTTTGTTTTGTTTTTCCCCAGCTAGTGCTAAAAGTTCTCTTTCCCATCTTGTCTACTTCACATCTCTGTTGTGTGGATATTGCTTCAGCTTTACAGCTTCTTCATTATCTCAGCATCCACCTTCCTCTGCCATCAAACCCCTGCCCTGCTGGTCAGAGGGGGGCTCTGTAGTGAACTCCCACTAGCTCACGAATCATAAGAACCGCTCATTAAACAGATGAGGCAAAGGAGGCCAGAGGAGAGAGGCCTCCTTGTTCCCAGAGGACACAGCTGCTTTGCTAAGCGTCCTTGGACCCAGCCCCAGTCCCATCCACAGGAGGGTCAGAGCAGCTCTGACCCCTCCCACCCCTCCTTGGCCTTCCAGGGATGGCAGTCTGGAATTTGACCAGTTGTTCGGGGCTTGGTCTGGGCAGGAGCCCCCTCCTAGGAAGAGGCTGGGCTTCACAGGCCCAGTCAGCTGGCAGCAGTCACCCTCTAGACCAGGCTTTTGCTCAGCATAGCAAGCCTGAGGCCACCAGAGTTGGGCAGCCTGCAGGAGAGGCTGGAGAGCCACTAGACAATCAGCCTGGTGGGGAGAAGAGCCCTGGGGTCTACTCCCACACCCACTCCGACCAGCAGGGCATCCCTGTAAAATGCACCTAACAGCCTTTGACCCTCCTACCTCATAAGGCTGCAGGGAGGGTCAGGTAAGAGGTTACAGGGACTGGCCTTGTGCTGGAAAGAGCTGTACAACCATGAGCTCCCACAGTTCATGACGAGTGGTTGTGAGTTAAATGCTCTTGGGCAGCTACCGAGCTGAGGAGGTGTGACCCATGCTTGTTATCTAGACAGGTCTGATTCCAGAGTCTCCTCTTCCCCCCACAGGGCAATCCTTCTACTCCCGGGTCCTGGAGAACTGTGAGGATGTGGCTGACTTCAATGAGGTAGGGTGCCTAAGACTCTGCTCCTTTAGCCCTGAGCCCTGAGAGGAACAAGGGCCTCTCTCCCTCCTGCAGGCCCACACTGGCCTCAAGTCCTGGGCCACCAGCATGCTCACAGCCTCTCATCTCTGGTTGCTTCCTGAGGAGGTGGTGGTGGGAGGGTGTGGAGGAGCTCACCCCCTCCACTCAGATCACTCTCTGGAGCCTTTGCACAAGAAAAAGGCATACCCTAGCAAAAGGGCATGCTACACACCTCATTGCTGAATGTCATTCCTGTCACCTGCAAGGTACTCCTCTTGGGAAGCTATGAATTGACACCAGTGCCAAGTCCACCCTTCAAAGCACCTTTTCTAGGATGAGTTCGCAAACTTAATTGTCCAACCTCATATATGAGAACCTTTATTCTTTCAAATAAATTTTAAAGTAGATTTTAAAGGTTCTTCTAAAAACTATGTGGGATTTTGATTGAGATGGGAATAAACTTTAAAAATTCACTTAGATGTCCTTTTTATGATAGTAAATTGCCTATTCAAATTATCTATCATGCTTTACTAGAGTTTTAAAGTTTTTTACATAAAAATGTTATACATTTTTATACATAAGAAGTCTTATACATTTTATTATTTCCTAGAGACTTATGGCTTTGCTGTTACTGTGAACGGTAGCTTATTTCTATTACCCTTTTTAATTGATTATTACTGACATAGAGAAATGCTTTCATTTCCTGTATAAGTCCCTTCTTTATCTGGCAACCTTGCTGAACTCTCTTATTCATTTTAGCAATTCGCCTATTGCTTCTGTTTTTCTTATACCTCTAGAAGTGTTTTCTGTCTTTCTGATTCTCACCCCATTCTTCTTTATCCACCCAAAGAGCATTGACCATGATCTCTGGTTCTATATTAAATAATAATGGTGACAATGTTCTCAATATTGAAGGGAATGAACACATCTAAAATTTTATAAAATCTAATTGTTATAGTAGAATTTTACTATCTAGCTTTGTCTTACTTGTTTGCTAAGAGTTTTTTTATCATAAAGGTTGTTAAAACTTACCAAAAGCTTCTTCTGTAGTGACTGAGATAATCCTAATTTCACTCCACTATTGTATTTATTTTATAATATATTCATTTTTAGTACACTGTTAGATTAAATCCTTTTATTTAGAATTTTTGAAGCTTTGTTCATAAAAGTTTCTGGTCTAAAATTTTTTGGAAGGACACATGGAATAGGAATTACTGTTCCTTGACGTGTTGGAGTGTAGGCACACTGGCCTCTGCAGATTTTTGGAACAGAAGCTCTTTGACTCCCTTTACAATTTCTCTATGTCATCTTGTACCAACTTTGGATTTTTATATTTTTCTAGACATTTCTACATTTTAACTAGGTTTTCAACTTTATGAGCACATATTTCATCACAGTTTTGAAATTACTTTAAAGTGTTATTGCGTCTATAGTTATTTCCCCTTTCTGATCCATATTTTATTTATTTGTATCTTCTCTCTGTTTTTCTTGCAGTCTTGCTAAAGAGCTGTTAATTTTATTAAGAAAGAACCAGCTTTTGGCTTTATTTTTCTCTTTTGTTGTTGGTGTTGGTATCTCCATTTCATTAATTTCTGCCCTTTAAAAAATTATTTCTCTTCTTTTTTTTTTTTTAAATTTTGTTCTGGGTCTCTTTTCCCAACTTCTTGAGTGTTGAGCTTATTATTTTTAACTTTTCTTGCATCTTAATAAATGTGTTTAAAGCTATAAATTTGCTCTATGTACAGCTTTAGCTGTGCCCTACAAATTTTTATATGTAGTGTTATCACTGATATTCAGTTTTGAACATTTCTTATATTCCTTGATGACTTCTTAAAGGCTAAGATATAAGTTATTTGGTTTTCAAAAATATGCAACTTTTTGAGCTCTTCTTACTTTATTCTAGTTTTTCTGCATTATCAAAGAACCTAGTCTGTATGATATTAATTCTTTAAAATTGATTGAGGATGCTGTTATGGCCTGATTCATGGTCATAAATGTCCTCTCTGCTTAAAAGGAATGTGTTCAGTGTAGAGTTGCTATATATAGCTCAAGATAAGCTCAAGCTTATTATTCAATATTTCAATATTTTTGCTTATTTTTCTCCACTTGATCTGTCAGTTTCAGAAACAGCTATAATAAAATCTACAATTGCAATTGTTCATTTGTATATTTCTCCCTGTAGTTCTGTTTATTATTGCTGGATACATTTTATTATATTATATTATTAGTTGCCTATATGTTCATAATGGCCATTTATTCTCACCTACTTTTCCTTTTACTGATATAAAATATTCCTTCTTTGGCCTTTATGATGTTTTTTGCATTAATTTATTTTGTGTGAGGTATTAAGATTGTTGTCTCAGCTTATCTTGTTTTTTTCCTAGTATATCATTTTCAATTCTTTTATTTTTTAGCATTTTTTAAAATTCAATTTTATTTTTAATATTTCTACATTTTAAAATTTAAATGTCTCTGCTTAGTGCATGCATCATTAGATACCATTCCCCAGTGTGAGAGTCTCTGTCTTTTAATTAATGAGTCTTACCCGTTTCCATTTATTATAATTGCTATTATCATTAGATTTATTTAATTTTATTACTGTTATTCTGAGTCTATTTACTAGGGAGCATTAAGTTTATTCTATCACCACTTTATATTTTCCACTTACTGTACTTTTTTTTTCTCTTTTTCTCCTTTCCAGCTATTCATTAGGTAGGTTGAATTTTCTTCTATTAGTTGAAAAGTTATATATTTTATTTTTATTTCAGAATAGTTGGCCTAACTAATTTTTGTATACTTTTTGATAGGTCACACAAATCAGTAATCATAGTTTCTCCCTAATATGGCAAGTAGTTTAATACTGTCTCATGCCTCCTTGATTTCCCTACCTCAGCCCACTCTTCTTGCTAATACTGTCTAGAGTAAAATTTTAATTTAGGTTCTTTTGGATGTGCAGTTTCTTTTTCTTTTATTTACCCTAGCCTTCTTTTTGTTTTAAGATAATAATAGCCTTTACCAAGGTCTTTGATTTTCTTTACTTCTCATATTTCTTAAAGTAGCTCATGGATTTATTTTTCTTCTTATTTGAGTACTTCCTCCAAAAGCGTTTTTATTTATTTATTTTTTTTAGAGACAGAGTCTCACTTTATTGCCCTCAGTAGAGTACCATGGCATCACAGCTCATAGCAACCTCTACCTCCGGGGTTTAGGTGATTCTCTTGCCTTAGCCTACCAGTAGCTGGGACTATAGGCGCCCGCCACAACACCCAGCTATTTTTTTGTGCAGTTTGGCTGAGGCCAGGTTCAAACCCGCCACCCTCAGTATATGGGGCTGATGCTTTACCCACTGAGGCACAGGCACTGCCCAAAAGTGTTTTTAATTTGGGTCTTTGTGTACACACCTTCTAAAGCTTTGTGAATATGAGAAGTTTTTCTTATTTCTTCAAAGTTTTCTTCAGAAGTTTTTCTTATTTCTTATTTCTTATATCCAGAGTTTCACTAGATATGAAATTCTAGGTTCAGAGTTCTTTACAACTTCAGAAATACTATTCCATGTTGCTCTACCATGTGGTTCTGGTTGTTTTATGTGTGATCTTCCTTTTCTCTCTGAAAAAAAACAAAAACAAAAAGTATAATTCTTTTCCCTTTGATATTCTTAAATTTTATTTTAATGTGTCTAGTTATGAGTTTTCCTTACATTTCCTATTTTGCACTATTTTGTGAGCCCTTTCAAATCACGAACTTCCATCTTTCACTTATAATAGAAAAATCCATTATTTTTTTTTCAAATACTTCTTCCACTCAGTTTCTATGTTGTCCTATGTTCTCCTCTGCAACTTCTGTTGTCAGACGTCAGGACCACTACTTCTTCTAGCTTCCTCATGTCTGACCTTTTATGTTATTCTATTAATACTTGTCTGCTATCTTGTGAGGAAGTTCTTCAAATTGATCTTCCAGTGTTCTAATCTGTTCTTCTTCTTTTTAAAAGAAGATTCTGGGGCAGCACCTGTGGCTCAAGGAATAGGGCACCGGCCCCATATACTGGAGGTGGCAGGTTCAAACCCGGCCCCAGCCAAAAACTGCAAAAAATAAAATAAAATTAAATAAATAAATAAAAATAAAAGAAGATTCCTTGCCTTGGTTTCATACCGCTAATATACAAAGGGTGCCAAAAAATGTATACACATTTGAAGAAAGGAAAAAGCTGTATTAAATTTGTAATACTCAAGTCATGTTTGACTTCTGCAATTACAAGAGGTGTTCAGCATGACTTGTGTTCATCTTTTGTTGTTGGTATATGCAGTATCTTGAGTGTTACAATTGTAATACGGCTTTTTTCTTTCTTAAAAAGCATAAATGTTTTTTGGCACCCTCTGTATTTCTTGACTGTCCATTTATTCAGCTAGTCCTGTTCCAGTTGGTAAGTACCATCCAGTGTGCTGACTTTCTTTTATGGGAGATGGACTTTTCAAGTGTCTCCTTACATTGCTGGGTTCAGGGTCCCCCAGTATTAGCAGTGGTCTGATATGTATTTTGGGAATGTGTCAAAGGCCAGTCTGTGTTGGTCTCTAAGTGCTAAAGAGAAGGGCAGTCATAGGCACAGGGGGTGGAAGACAGTTACCACAGAAACATTGTTGACCACCCCACCACCCGAGTCAGGGTCTAGTTGCTGGACCTTTAAGGGGAAACATGAGTGACAGAAGATAGTCTGGATTTTTAGCGACCAGCTCTGGAGTAAAGAAGATCTGAACTACTGGTCTATCAATGCCTATTATTCTTCATCCTCACCTCAGCAGGACTGTTGTCACAATTTCATCAGGAATTTACAAAGCTTCCTGCAGCCCCTTGTCTCACTGCCCCTCCCTTGCCCTCCAGCCCAGGCCAAGAGCCTACATCTTCCTGCACTTACCAGCTCCAGCAGCCTTTGTGGTTTCCTCAGGTTTCGTATGCTCTTTTGTCTATTTGCTTGTTACTTTCTGTAATCCATATTCCCTCTTCCTGCTATAGTTTCCCCAAGGACTCTGGGATAATAACTAGCAGTCCTGAGTCATCAACATGGAACAAACCAGAAATTCTGTTGTGACCTGTGAAACAGTTTGCCCCTTATTCCCTGGGCTTGCCTCTCACATCCAGCTGTTTG